CCCAACGGGTCTGAGGGACAATGAACTGGCCCCCTGTTCAAAAAGTTTGAGGACCCCTGCTATGGACTGTTAAATCTCTGGATTCCGAGAAGAGAGATCTTGAGTAGGGCAAGTCTGTGAAAAAACTTTCATATGTAATAATATGAGACAGTGATCCCTAAAGATACGATTTATAGCAGAGAGGAAGAAGAAAGGCAGTTTAGGTCAAATACAGTATTTAGCAGGAAGCCTACTCCACTCTCACCACTCGCCCATCTGTTTGTCATATTGTTAGGGCTCGCCACGGGGCTGTGGTGCTAGCAGGTATGTGGGACAATGGCGTAGAGGCCATGTCTGGCATCCCTGTCCCACGAGGCAGAGGTCCGACCTGCCTCCACCCTCTACCCTTGTTTGCCCTCTTCTGACAACAACCATGCCTCCCACGATCGCTGTTTGTCTACTAGGTTCCATAATGTGTTGTAGTGACCACGCAGAACTTCCAGGCAAAAGTCACAGTGATGTCATTGTCATTTTAAGAAAGTTAACAGGTACCTGCAAGTCAGGGTCACTAAGGGTACAGTCGTTGGTCACAGTAGGTATTCTCAGCCAGCAGCCAAGTCTCTCTCTGGGCCTCAGTCACTCAACTAATAATAATGAGTACAAGAAGGAAGAAAATGTTTTAAAATCGATTGTGATAGTGATTGCACAACCTTTTAACATTGAATTGTGTGGTATATGAATTGTGTCAATAAAGTTTTTATTTTAAAAATGAAAAGAGCCATGGAGCCATTGCTGACAAGTTGATTCCTACTCATGGGACCAAACAGAAGGTTTCCAAAATGTAAACTTCATGGAAGCAGAGTTCCGCATCTTTCGTCCATGGAGCAGTTGGAGGGTTTGAACCTTTGACTTTTCAGTTAGCAGCCAGGTAGCTAATCACATACCACTATGTCTTCTTGGTAGGTGTATCAAAATACTAAACCCACTGCCATCAAGTTGATTCGAACTCACAGTGGCCCTACATAGGGTCTCCGAGGCCTCACCTTGCTCCTGCAGAGTGGTGGGTTTGAGGCACCCCCCTGTGGGGAGCAGTCCAAAGCTCCTTGGTGGCTCTCAAGCTGGTGTTATAGTAGAGCAAGAAGACAGCTTCTAAAAAGAAGATAAGGTCATCCATGCTAGGACTGCATAGTGTTTAAGAAAAGGGTGTACAGAGAAACAAGCAGCCATCTAGCTCAGAAAGCAACAAAGTCCACATGGAAGAAGCACACCAGCCTGTGTGACCATGAGGTGTCGAAGGGACCAGGTATCAGACATCAAAGAACAAAAAATCATACCAGTGTGTGCCCACCTTCCCACTATGATCACTGAAGACAAACGTGTGCATAAGCAAAGGTGATGAAGAAAGCTGATGGTGCCCAGCTATCAAAAGATAAAGCATCTGGGGTCTTAAAGGCTTGAAGATAAACAAGTGGCCATCTAGCTCAGAAGCAACAAAGCCCACATGGAAGAAGACACCAGCCTGTGTGACCCTTCACTCAAATTACAAAAAAGAAAAAAATGTATATTACTGACAACTGTCATGTTCAAAAGACTATTAAGATCCATCAAATAGAAAAGTACTAAAAAGAACATGTGTACCCATCATTCAGTTTAATGAACATAAAATTCGTAATGTCCATAAAGGCCTATGTGGTTCTTTCATATCCCAATTCCCTCTACACTCTCCTATTCCATTTTCCTTTGGAATTGGTTCCCTCTCCACCTGTCATTTGATTCTGAAAAATTTCAAACCCACAGAAAAGTTGGAAGAGGAGAATGAATCCCCATGTGTTCTTCACTGAACCCACGGCCATCGCATCACGTGCGCCTCGGAGGACCCTGTGGGATGGAGAAGAACTGCCCCTTCAGGCTCTTGAGACTCCACGTCTTTACAAGAGCAGAAAGCCTCCTTGTTCTCCTGGCGAGTGGTTGGTAGGTGGGAACCACTGACCTTTTGGCTAGCAGTTCACATCTAACCCACTGCACCACCAGGCCTCCTTATTCATTTGTTCATCTTTTCCCATATCAATGGAATGAACATATGCTTATGATCTAATGTTAAGTGAGTCAATTCCAACTCACAATGATCTGCAATATAAAATCATACCTGCAGTACAATCGTAGTCATTTAGAAAAATACTCGAAGGGAATGGTTAAAATGCTCATGGCGTTTTGCGGCGTGAGAATAATGTGTGTGTGTTTCCCCCCGTCACTTTTTAAGTCTTTATACTCTACCTGGAATGGTCTGTGTTATTAGGGGCCACCGAGTGGGCTCTGCCCATTGTGACCCTGTGCACAACAGCACGAAGTAGTACTTGAGTCCAGTGTTGCCACCGCTGTGTCAATCTGCCTCAGTGAGGTCCTGCCTCTTTCACCGCCCTTCTACTTTACCGAGTATGATGTCCTTCTCCAGGGACTGGTCTCTCCTGACAGCATGTCCACAGTACGTAAAAGGAAGTCTAGCCGTCCTTGACGAAGGAGCCCTGTGACCTACTTCTTCCAAGATAGATTTGTTTGTCCTTCAGGTCGTCCATTGTAGTATTAAATAAAATATAAGTGACGCTGAGGGAGGGTGAGGGAACCAGCCCCCACCCGCTGATTACTCCTA